TCTCATTCGCGAAAAAAACTCTTAAAAAATGTCTTCCAAAGTGAATAGCATTAATTAATTTGTTATGGAATTCCCAGACAGAAGAGTTTCTTTAGAGAATAACTTTACAACTTTCCAATAAAAACACTACGACAAATAACACCTGAAATTTTTTATAACACCTTTAAACATGTTTTTAAATTATGTTAAAAACTTGATTTTAAAAGAAAAGGATTTGAAGAATTAGATAAGAAAATGGGATGCCGGAGGAAGAAGTTGGGTTGGGAAGAAGTGAGGGGGAAATTTAATACTTAATGCTGATTAAAAGGGTAGTAGTAGTATTGTTGAAATTAGTGCATACAAATGCAATATATTCCTTAAAACCATTCCCTTAAGTTTTGAATTTTCATCTCTTTAATATGTTTCTTTAAAAAACTGTTAATAGGTATAAATTAGTTATCTTAATATCCTTAATTCGTTTTTTAATGAAATTATAAGTTTAAGAAATGTCTAATTAGTAGAATGTATAATTGTGTAGTGAGTAACACACACGACATCTCCTTCGGTTCATATGGCACACGCACAAATACAGAGTAATATAATGTTATTTTCGAACGTTAGCTTGAAATGAGTCGATTTAAGCTACCTTTATTTCTTCGCGTTCAGTAATGCTCTATAAAAACCAAAAAAGTATTTTTTCCTTTCATTTTCTGTTGTTATCTCCCACGTTGCATTATTAAAGAACTGTAGCAATTTCCAGCAGTGAATGTTATTCTGAATTCTATTTTTAAATCCAGTACACTTGAGATAATTAGTGGTATCATAATGTTTATCAGCTTTCCATCACTTTCCCATGTTCAAGTTCATTTTTAAACGTCAGCATTCTTCAGCATTATGTTCCGCACTGTCGTACGGTGCAGTAAACAAAGTTTCTTACATTTTGAACGTACTCTTCAAGTATTCAGTTTGAATTATAAAAAACGTTCTAAGTTCTTAACAGACTCTGAAATTTACACATATTAAAAATCAGGATTGTTTTTTCGTTAATGAAGATTTTACGTAGTTTTCCAAATGACTTCTTAAAGCGTTAACCGATATAGTATATCATTATTAATCATTTTCCCTCTTCATTGACCCTGATACAATGTCTACCTCTACATGATTGATGTACTTGTAATTGATATTCTGTACATACGCTGAAGCTAAGTGAACAACTTCACTTTCTAAAAATTAGTTATGCAGAATGCCCCGTAAAGATTTGTTAATATTCCACCGAGCTAATGTACAAAAGTGTTTATGGACACACGTATCGGACTCATTGTTTTCGGGAATCAACTAGAATTTATCTTTTACATCACTCCAACAGGTTTGCGCTTCGTTAAATCCTACTACTTAATTTTTTCCTGGGATAAATATGATTCATGTGCTCAACGCAGTGCAGTGATATTCACTCTCCAATTAAAACATCACGAAGCAATATATTTATTGCACTTGAGTCAGTAAATTATGTGCGCTAACGTTGTTTTTAAAATTAGGACATGAAAATATCTTAAAACAAAGAGAAATGCACAATTTAATGTTGAGTATTCATGTTTGATAATGTTTCATCTATTTTAATAGTTATTTTTACAATACACTTATACACGTAATATATACAACGAAATTAATTTACTTAAATAATTTAATATGGCAATAGTAGGCAATCAATGCACTTCTAAATTAAGAACAATCTTCAACAATTAGGGAAGAGAGAAACAGGTGAACTGATAAAGTAAGACCAGAGATAGTTCTCTGCTGAGAACACTTTCGAGTTTGTGCGCTAACGACATCGAAAGAAGTTTGTAATTGTAATTGCTTTCATTACAAGTGTGGAACTCTGAAGTCTGAGTCTGTTTTTCTCCTAACTATGCAATTTGCAGATCGCAAAATCAGAAATAGTCTCCAAAATCTTTTTCAGAATTTGTCACTTTCGTATGCTTTAATATTTCATATCACGAGAACTGTTTGGTAAAGACCACAGTCCAGGAAAATAAGTATAATTAACTTTCAGGAAAATTACAATGCAGGTTAAGAGGACTTCGCCATTCAGGTCGGTGTAACAAAAAATGATGTAATTAATTTAAAAGTAAATGACGGAAGCTCATTTACTATATTTCATGGAATATACTTTTGCAATTAGAACACACTAATAAGCAATCACAATTTGTATGTGCTAACAAGATCTCCGTGATGGTGAGCATTAAAAGTCACCCGTGGATGAAATAGTGAGAGAAGAGTCGGAGGAGATTGTGAGACGAGAATGAATTAACGAAAACTCCAAAACATGAAATAATAAATTAGTGAGGTAATAAATTTGATGAAGTATTGATGAAGTATGAAGGGAGTTACCAGTAAAATGGAAGGGAAAATTGTCTCAAGGATTGTTACACATATGTCAGATTAAGTAAACGAGTCTGTGAGATACCAAATGAACAACTGGATTAAAAACTTAAATATGAAACAATAAGATAAGGATAAGATCACAGTGAGCATGCAAAGGAACAAGAACAAAATATAAATTTGACACAATATAGTGTCTGTCGACTCAACGAGCAGAAATGAAAAGAGACGCGAGTCCAAACATGAATGTGTCGTCTCCTCCAAGAGGCAACGAAGCGGAGACTTATCAACCGTCTCAAGGTCCAGCAGTGCAGAATGAAATAATCATTTAATTAAATTTTCTAGAATGCGTTAGAAAGGGTAAAGACAAATATAAACACATGAATGTCGAACAAAAGGTTGAGCGCTACTGAAGGTAGCGAAAAGGGAGTAAGCCAGGCAAGACAAACCGGCCATACGAGCTACTTCTTGCCCACCTGAGAAGCGCGGAGTTTCTGCGAGCACGGTCAACTTCTCGTGACTTTCCCCTCCAAATACACAAAAGGATATCCACACGGAAAGGATGTCACGCGGCCTAAGGCGTGAAATAGTGACTATATACGAAAATACGTTTTTACCAGATTTGGTTTTTCAAAACACGTTATTATTATATTCTTTGATTTTTGATTGTATTATTTACTATATATTACTGGTTCACGTGCCGACCTGGATGGCCGAGGTGGCTAAGAGCATGAATCGACTCAGCACTTCGGTGCGAAGGGTCGCGGGTTCGAGTCCCGCCTTAGGCATGGTTGTTTGGCCCTTGTCTCTCAAGTATATGTTGTCGCGGCGTTCTGATGACGCCAGATCAGAAGAACCCGGAAATGTCAGTTGGTGTCTAGTGTTTGGTCGAATATTTGTCCGATCGTGACGTAAAGAATACTGGCTGTAGGGTCAAGCTGAAAAAAGCTCTAGAAGAAAAACCTATTTCATGTCAATTCTTGTTTTTAAAATTCTGGCTTGCACAAACATTTTTGCCAAGGGGGCGGGAATATGTTTAAATTGCGAATTCTTTCTTTGTTTTAGTTTTGTACATCATTTCATTTTAGTAGATTATATTTTTTCTTGGGAAATGGGAATGGGCTAATTTTGGAACCATCAACAAACTTCTCTAAAAAAGACTCTCATGGGCCGAAAATCTAGTGACGTACTATCACTCCGGCAATTTGTGTAACCTTTACTTATAACTCACTGCAAAATCTTGGCGCAGTGCTCGCGGGTAAGCTGGTTATCTTGCCCACAACTTTGACAAGCATGGAGTAAACTATCAAGGAAATAAAGAAAATATGTTACAAAAAGGGAGGCGAAGATAATAAAAGAGAACAAAACACAATGAAGATTGATTCCAGGGCTTGCAGTGCGTCACTTTGGGCCCTTCAGCAGCAAGTTATGTCCCAGAGGTGGCGGTGTTCCCCCCCGCTAGAACGTAGAATTCATCGCCGGATTGCGGCGTTTTCCCTTGAAGCGTCTCCGCCAGAAGAGCACCGCCCCGGCCAGAGCTCCTGGTTCTCCACTATGTGATCTCCTTGCATGTGCATAGTGTAACGTTTAAAAATATGTGCAATAGGAGAGTAGCCGACAAGGAGGAGGGATTAAAGAGCGCGCGGTGTGTGGCCCATTTGTTTAATACTGAACTGGCTATCATCTGGTATTGCTCAACGAAATGAAAGAAACCCAAGGAAAACTACCGATTACAAGAATTCTCCTCCAAGTAGTAAGCGGCTGAAATCTACCTAGTGTAGAATAGCTTTAAACCTTAGGATCTCCGGTCGGAGAATGGGTTGAAATGTTGTTCTGATCCAACTCAACCGGTGAGAAAAAAAGTCTGTTAAGGAGCACAAAACCGTAACTGCTTGGCTGTCTAGAATACATCGTATCCTAGACACATGTAACAACGTTTCTAGGAAAAATGTCGGAGAAATGCATTTCGCTCTTAGGAAGGTTGCAGAATGGCGGCCGAATCTTTGGCACCAGCGACTAGTTCGCAGCATTCCACGGACAGTCAGGTACTAACTCCGGCCGCGGAAGCCTGCGCTTTCATACCATAAGACCCACCTACCGGCAGCAGGCCCAGGGGCGTATACAAAATGAGTCTGAAGGATCCTTTCATCAGCTGCACACCCAGGGGTTCGTAAAAAAAGGAAGTGTGAGTGAACGAGACTTCCACAAGACGCACCTAACGGCTACAGACCCAGGGGGACGTACAAAAAGGAACTGCATGAGAAGGAACCTTCGACAAGACCCACCTACCAGCTACAGACCAAAAGGGCGCGTTCAAAAAGGAAGTGTGAGTGAAGGAACCTTCCACAAGGCCCACCTACCGGCTGCAGGCCCAGAGACACGTACACAAAGGAAGTGTGAGTGACGGAGTCTTCCACAAGACCCACCTACCAGCTACAGACCAAAAGGGCGCGTTCACAAACGCCGTGTGAGTGAAGGATCCTTCCACAAGATCCACCTAACGGCTACAGACCCAGGGGCGCGTACAGAAAAAAACTGCTTGAGAAGAAACCTTCGACAAGGCCCACCTACCAGCTACAGACACAAAGGGCGCGTTCAAAAAGGAAGTGTGAGTGAAGGAACCTTCCACAAGGCCCACCTACCGGCTGCAGGCCCAGGGGCGCGTATCGCCACCTTCCGGAAGCGCGGGGCGCCGGTGGCGTGGTAGGGCGGCGGAGGAGGCGGCAGCGCCGGCGGAGGCGCGCGGGCGGCGCGCGAAGCGCACGCCGCTGCGGGAGCGGCGGCGCGGAGCTGGGGCGCCTGCGGGTGCAAGTGGGCGGGGCGGCGGCGGCGGCGGTGTGCTCAAACAGCATGCTGACGGCGGCGCGGCGGCGGCGGCGGGGCGCGGGCGGCCGCGAGCCGCTGGTGCATGACCGGCGACCGCGCCGCGGCGCCCCGCCCACCCGCTCTGTCCGGCGGTGGCGGCGGCGGCGGCAGGGGTGCGGAGCTCGGAGACGGTAGAGCCACCCGAGGAGACAGCGTCGAGGCGCCGCCCGCACCCTCCCAGACGCGGCGCCGCGTCGGAGGCCTCCCGCATCACTGGTTCGCGTCGGGCGTCGCGGCCGCGCGCCCACCTGGGCGAAGCACAGTGCGTGAAGCACCCGACGCCTCCTGAGCTCGCGCGCTTCACCCACCCAGGCGAAGCACAGTGCGTGAAGCATCCGACGCCTCCTGAGCTCGCGCGCTTCACCCACCCAGGGGAAGCACAGTGCGTGAAGCACCCGACGCCTCTTCAGCTTGCGCGCTTCACCCACCCAGGTGGATATTTGTGCTCGGGGACGATTTCGTGAGGGCGTAACACAGGGAACGATTCGAAATTGGTGCGTCTGTTCGGAACATCACATTCGAAACATCGTCATGTTCGGCTTATCGATTTCATTGATGAATCGTTGTCTAAAGAGAAATGTTTCTTCACTTAAGTATATCAACTATGATGTATGACTATCAATATATCAGGTTGGTTTAAGTGGTTAAACTATTCACTAAGTATTTGTTTTATAAAATCCCAATTTTTTAAAGGCAAAATGTTCATATTCAAATAGTCTCTCGTGTATACCTGAATTATTAGGGTAATTTGATTTGCATTCATTTTGCGTGCGGTTCTCTCATTTCCAAACTCGTAGAGATACTGAATACTATTTCTCGTTAATGCAGGAAACAATTTTTATTATTCGAGAAGAGAAAGTCATTTTTAATGAAGTAGGTACAACGGACATAAATCTGATGAATGGTTATGGAATTAATAATAACAATAGTGAAATAGATTTATTGGAGATGTAGAAAATATTAAAAATACATTCTACCACGTATTTATTCAATGAATAGTTGTTGCTGTTGAAGAGCACGTGGTCAAGTTTTTCTACATTTACCAATTGCTTTTATTTTTTAAAATATTTCTCTGTTTAAATAATGTTCAAGAATGATCCTGCATCAATACATTGTGAAGATGATTTTATAACGGAAAGAGAATCACATTTTTGTATAAAAATTGGAATATAATCTTCAAGAGAAGGACATGCTATGCATAGTGGTCCATGCAATATGTATTTGGGCCTCAATTAAAGTTTATCTGCTACATTTTCTTGCAGAAAATAAGAAACTAAGGATGTTATAATAAACGTATTGCATAACTAACTTGTTTGAAGGGGTAGTAAAACAGGCATTTTCTTGTTTCTTCTGTTATAATATAAAATTTTCTAAACATTCTGTTTAAGAAGGACACTACTACAAAAATATCGTTAGATGGAGTTACGGTACCGACATGTTATATGAAATGACGTGATGGGGTGAAATATATGTGTATTGGACATTGACACGGCGTTCAAAAAATATTACAGAAGTGTATCACGAAATATTTCTTTCCGGGCATTGCCTCTCCTTCGCGTCGCTTTGACAAGTTTCTCCGTCGGCCTCTGAATCATGGCGCGTCGGAAACGTTCGAGGCTGACAAACGACTGCGCGCTCAGAGAGAGCGCAGCGTGAACGCGGCGCTCCACTCTTCCCAGCCTCTCACGTAATTACTTGTCCGGATCCAAATCCGTGACACGTTAATTAACGAATTTATTTTGTAAAAGTCATCCTTTTGATGTAAATCGCAGAGCCACGTGAATGCAAGAGAACGCACGCGAATTTTCTAACCTGTTATGCTCGAACCGGAGAAGCAGAGTAGAACGGTGATTTCTGTAAACACTAGAAATGTAAAAACCCTGTTCTCACTGCAGCTGATTTAAATAGTATCAATATATTAAGTTAACATGCTATTTTTGACACTTTCATATCATTTAATAAAAACGTCTGATTTAGTTATCTTAGATTTTATTTTCTCTCCTGTAGAATTTCGACGTTCAATTTTTCGTTCAGACGCTGCAATCTTCAATGATAATCACTACGCTATTTAAAATATTCTAAGCCAATAACATTAAAATAAACATAATTATAGACAACACTTTTATATTAATGTAATTAATATTTTAAATTTTCCTTTATATTTATTCACAATTAAAATTAATATTTTTTTAGATTATACTTTTGTTATTTATAGACGCACTATTGAAATATGCCAAGAGCTCTGAATAGTTGAACTTGCGATACAAAATATTAGATCTATATGAAGATCTAATTTAACTATTAGAAATGAAATAGTAGTAAGTTTATGTTTTCTATTTTTCATACAGCAGGGAAAAGTTCATTTGTTAGAATGCAGAACAGTAACAGTCAAGAGCATAATTCCTACTTTATGAATAATGGATGTAATTAAATCCTTTTTACCTAGAGGTAACGCTGTAATGTTCAGTAATTCAAATTTCCCCTGTCTAAAACACTGGCATAAAAATAAAGTTGAGCTGAAAGTTACTTCTGCAAACGCGTTCTTTTGAAAAATGATACCTCTCCACGAGGCGGTCGCGTGAGGTGGAGAGAGGAACAAATCAGTTTCCGGTGGCCATCAGAATTGTCGTCACGCCACCGCGTGGCAGCAGAAACGCGATCTGCGCCGAGGCGCAGTATGTCTCCAGAGGGAGCAAGTCCACGGGGAAGGAGCCTGCAATGCGAAGTTCTGCTGATAGTGCACGCGGCAGACCATTTGGAGCACACGACAGAATGCCAACTAGAGGGCGCAGGCCGTCCCTCGGGGCGAACACCGCCCAGCCACGCCCACAACCGGTGGCGCGTGCGGAGAGGCAGGGGGGTGGGGCCGCGGTGCGCGAGAGAGGGGGAGGTAGGAGGGGGAAGTGGCGGCGAGAGTGCGCAATGGCAGCAAGCCCCGAGATTGGAGAAAAAGGAAAAGAACAAACATTACTTCTGCAATTGTTGCTTCGTTTGATACTGAGAAGGCTTACGAAATTATTTTTAAACCCCGACTACTACGTAATTTTATCTCAATAAGTATAAAAGGCAACTTACTGCCTTTTAAAAAAATATGCAACATATCTGCGTGTACGCATGTTTGATAAAATGTCAACACACAAGTAAATGATGTATGTCCTCCCTCACGGCTCAGTTATTAGCGTGCTCCTTTTCCTGATCGCAATAAATGAAATAAGTAAAATAATAGGAGCACCAAGTAAATTATTTCTTTTCGCTGAAGATATTTCCATTGTATGCTGCGGCAAAGATCTCAGAGTAACAACTAAAATAATCCAAGAAAACTTAAACAAAATTCAAACACGGGCAAGTTCTTCAGGTTTCTCCCTTTCAAGAACTAAATTGGAATTTATTATGATCCCTAGAAGCTCAAAACTTTTACATAAAAATCCTGATCTCTTTATTGGAAACCATCAAATACGTCGTACATACTCTTGTAAAATCTTGGGCATGACCTTCGGCCAATAGTCAACAGGTTTTATAAAAATCCCATAATTCAAAGAATCCAAGAACAGTTATTTTCACAAGAAAACAACGGAAACTTCATCTCTATTGTTTGTATTCCAGCATATAAAGGTATAGAAGGGTATTAAAAGGCAGATAAAGTGGCTAAAAAAGCAACTTCATTATCAACAACGGACAAGAGTGTGTAGGGAGTTCTCTCCGATATCAAACTATATATTAAAAATATGGTTAAGAAACAATGGAATGAAAAATGGCTGACTACCTTCTCCAAACTTCACCTCGTAAGGAAATCCGTTATTGAACCCGCCCTCCCGAAACTCCAACTCAGTAGATTCCAACAAGTTCAAATTACCAGACTACGTATTGGCCACTTTAATCTCTCACACATTCACCTAATAACGAACGCTGACCCGTTACCCTCTCCTACATGTGGATTCCAAGTATCTACATCCCATATTATTCTAGAGCGCCCTGAAATAGATCGTATCAGTCATTAAATTTAAAAGACTCTATATAATTCCTTCTCCTCCCCAGAAGAATGTGCAAAAGTCTTACAACTTTTAAAATCATCAAAAAATGATGTCCTAATATAAAGACACTCCTTTACCTATATCACCTATGCAATAATCCTTCAGACATGTTGTTAATAAAACTTGTGTGATGTAAATAAATAAATATATGTACCCTACCAATTATGTAAGTACCCATAGTATTAATACATTTTGACCATTTATATTTTTGTATGATTTGTAATTGTATAATGGCATAACTGTAAAAATGTATATTCTTGTGTACATTATACATTGATTTTCGTGGTCGCTTATGACCCAGTTGTTGAAAAGCAACTTTACATAAATAAACTGAAAAAACATTGCTTTCTTTGAAATCGATGCTACCTCCTTTAACCGAACTTTTGTTTGCCGTGCGAAATAATACATATACCTACCTACATTTCACATACCATCTCTTTTAATAAACTTCAGAAAGAAAAGTTTATAATTTTTATAGTCGCATGGTCGGTATGGTAGTTTGCAAATAAATAACACTCCTCATAATTAAACATTTAGCTTTATGAATACGATTTGTTCCTTTCAAAGTGTGTTGTAGAGATTAGTGTATCCGTATCAAGAGTATTATTGTATAAATCAGTTGAAGCGTCTTGTAAAGTATTTCCCAAATCAAAATACCCGTTTCAAATCTGCAGGGTCTCGATATTCTTTAGATCGGTAGGAAAATGTCAATTTTGTACAGAATCATCTTATTGATTTAAACCCTAGTGTTTCGCACAGACGGACGGATGGATAGACAGAAATTTTGCCGACAATTATTTTTTCAGTATCCAGGACCCCAAAAATACAGATTCTGTCTGCATAACATATTAGAGGAAGTAATTTGCTAGGTAGAGAAAAACGATTTATTCTATTTCTCGTTATCAGGGTTCCTTAATAAGAGTTTTCTGTCGAAAAGGTGTCGTTTTCCGGAGCATGATAACAATACTTACTTCTTTTTTATGAAGTAAGCAAACATTAATATTTCATATAACGTTTTATGTAACAACGTATTGCAAGTAATTTTCACACATTATGTAAATATACAGTTTGATTAATATTCTCAAAATGCTAAATTAAGTGTCCGCGACTGCTACGTATTAAAACCTTGGGTTCTCAGAAAATCCAAGCAAATGGTTTTAATTTTTTTCGTTTAGAAACAATAGTTACAATTATTGGTTAAATTTACTATTTATAAA